ATTTGTCTTCCTTGTGCACAAGTACTGTAAATAAAGCTTCAAAATTACTTGTGCCAAGAGGTTGCTTGTGCTTCTATTCTTTTGAAACTCATTTTTTGCAGACTGTGGCCTGCATAGGTCAAATAGAGAAGAATGTAGGCATTGACTCTTATGCAAACCTTGTTCATATATCATCCTCTGGCCTTCTTGAATATAAGGATGAACTGTTAATCACATCATAATAAGATCATCCTTCTCTTTTTTATTATGTTCTGACAGAAGGGACACAACATTAAACTTCCTTGGGAGTCTGAGCTGCATTTCATGAGCAGTTGAAGTTTGTATTTCTCAGATTGTTGGAAGCAATCCTGCTCAACTGTGTGTAACAGGATGAGATGGGGGAAGAGCAGAAGGGAAATTGCAGAACTAATCTTACTCTATGAGCTTCATTTTGTGCACCTAAAATGCTTATGAGGAGTTACAGGTGACTTCCAACAGCTCTGTGAAAACTGCGTCCATTTTGAGAGAATTTAAAGCCATGGGAACAGACAACGGTGAGGTGTTTGGTGTGTTTAATTCTCTATGCTCCCTGATGCATGCCTGGATTCTGCTCTGAAGGTCTGACAGTTCAGCCTGGTGGGAAGCATTCCTCTCTCAGCAGCATTCTTTTAGCTGATATTTGTCTGTAAACCTTATTTTTAAGCATTCCACTGCCCTAGTGCAAGTACACATTTCTGGCTTTCTTGGTAAGAGTATTTGATGTTTGCAGCTTTGCTGGCAGCTCTTGTCATAGACTCCTAGAGGTTTTAAAAGTCAAACACTCAGAGCCTTTTTCTGAGGCAGTGGACTGTGGGGAGTGAAACCTGAGTGTTTTCACTGTACAAGTGCCTCTCTCAGTTTGTCAGGCTCTGTTGTCAGTGCAGGTCTCTCCTGTGCTGAGTGGTGGCTGCCCCTGTCTGGCAGCCAAGGCTGCACCCATCAGGGCTGGGTGGAGGATTGGGAGAGCAGCTTCCGAGCAGCTCTTGGGTAGAGGTAAAGCTCTTGGGTAGAGAAAAGCCAGGCTAATAAGTTAAGGAAAAAAGAAAAAGGCAAATTGATGCGAAACTGATCACTCACCACCTCCTGGCAGCAGACCAGTGCCCAGCAAGCCTCTGAGTGATGGCTGCTTTCGCTAAATCTACCTCCTTCCACCTCTCCCCCCCAGTTTTATTGCTGAGCATGGAACCTTAATGGCATGAGTTATGCCTTTAGTCATCTGGGCTCTGTCATTGTGGCTGTGCCCCCTCCCAGACTCTGGCTCACCCACCAGTGTGAGAAGGCCTTGAGGCTCTGCAAGTTCCCCAATAGGCATAATGCTGGTGTGCATTCCACACTGCTCTGTCACCAGTCTATACCAGGGTACCACAGGGCTGCTATGGAGAAAACAGGCCGCATCCCAGCCAGACCCAATATGGTTGTTGTGAGTGATGAATGGGGTGTGATTGTGGATACTCATGTCTGTCTTTTCCAGGCCTGTGTTGAGCTATACTTGTAAGAAAACATAAAAGAAGGCAACAAATAAAAGAAATTGTACAGAATAGGCAAATCATAGAGACTTGCTGAATTCCCTGCTTAGATTAGGTGTTGTGCCCCATGCCTGCACATAGATATCTACTCTAATTAGCAGGATCCATAGTGGATGGCTTTCATCTGACACTAAAGGAAGAGCTCATTTTTGGCAGAATTATGATAGTGCTATATTGTAGTTACAATCAAAACATTTTTGATAGGCTATTATGATTAGTCTAACACATAATTGATTATTATTAAAATTCCAGAGGATTTCTACAAAACAAATTAACATAGTACAAGCTGTAAGTAGCATAATACAGAATTTATAATAAATTTTAACTTATAATTTCCAATCACTAAATCCTAATTTAATTTTTGATACCTAGTGACTTGAACCCTGTGCAGATCAAGTCAAATCTTAGTCCATGCTTTGCTCTGTCAATAACAATTATAATTAGACTCTCAAAACATATAGAAGAGTCACTCCCTGCATCCTCAGAGGATGCGAACAATGGTGGAGGCATCCCTGTTCCCTGGAGGTTGATGGGTTTCACTGTCCAGCAGCAGCTCTGGTTCAAGTCCCCTCTTATGCCTCATAACTGGTTGGATCTCTAGACAGGGGGCTGCTGCAATTCACCTCCCTCTTCCATGGGGGCCTGGTAGGCCAGAAGGGTAGGGACAGTAAGGAGAGGAGCAGTCACCTGGTGCCCAGGAACCTCAAGGATGGGAGGGAGGAGAAAAAAACTCTTTGGGTTTTCTTCTGGGTTCACAGAACCTTCAGGGCCTGAAAATGAGGTGAAGGGCAATGAAGATGTGATCCACTCGGTGACAGGTGATGGCAGCTTGCCTCGTGAATTGGCATTAAATAACTCCATGAGCAGGGGTTGAAGCAGGATGTACCATTGGCAGTGGCACGTATCAACACTTCACTTCTAGAGTGACTTTTCAAGGAAGGCAAGAATGAGGCATTTTCCACTGCCCCTCAGCTCTGAAGAGACCCCCTGTCCCACCAAGGCTTGCAGGGGTACAGTTCAGAGAACAGTGGTGTGAAAGCAAAGGGAAAATCTGGCTCCAGCTCCTGCCAGGGAGGAAGGTCACAGGGCTGGGAAGGAAAGCTTGCACCACTGTAAATGGCAGGGCTTTGGACTTGGTTAAACCAGTAAAAAGACTTAGAACATTATGCTATGATGTATCTGCAACTATATCTAGATACATATAATATATACACTATAAAAAATACATTCTTGTTGTATATAGGTGTTTCCATGTGTAAATATACATACATAGAGGGGGACAAGAAATCAATCCATTGCAAGTGCAGTTCATGACATTAGAATCAAAATAATCTCTATTGAATAGTAGCCCTCACAGATAGAAATGTTATTCACAGTTTTCAAAAAGGCATTATCAAGGCCTAAAATAAATGAGAAAATTATGTCTCATGGTCTTTAGAACTCCATAAATTGATGGGCATGCATGTTTAATGTGACCTGTGTTACAGTAGCTTGCCTGCCATAATCTTAAGCCTTTATTCAAATGGAGCTACTCTCCTGCTATGTGATTTGTTTGGGTCCACCAGTGTCTGAGTCCATGCTGTCCTGCAGGGGCTCTTCCAGTGCTCCCTCAGTGCTCTTGCCTGAAGATGACTTCATAAACCATGGCAGGATTACCTAAATGAACCATGAAAAAAGGCTAGCAATGTCATCACTAAGAAACAGGATTTGAGGATATCCCACTTAAAATTGTCAAACTTCTTCTGAACCTGCCAGTTTTATGATTTTCCCCCAGTTTCTCCATTTCTGTGCACCATCACTTCCAGCATTACTGTCTTGGCACTTCTCCTCCTCATCATCCCTCAGAGAAAAGAAGGAATGATGTCTGTGGCTACTCTGTCTTTCCTGCCCTGAGGAAGGGGCAAGCAGAAGGGACACAGTTGCAGTGCTCACCCTTGAGAGCTTGGAAAATAGCTCCATCTTATTTCAGCTATTTCTGGATGTCTTCTGGCTCCCTTGAAAGTAACTCATTTTCAAAAACAAGAGTGCTGGGCACCTTTGCTTTGAACAACGATTTTAACCTGTTATAAACCAAACTGTCAGTCCTGGTACTGAGGTAGTCTAGGACAGCTTAATCTTTCAGAAAAGGCAATGCCTGTTTCTGTGGTATTAGTGGCTCCCTTGGCCACATCTCAGCACCCTGGGTAATCTCTTAGCACAGATCTGTCTGTGTGTCCTCCCTCACCACTTCTGTTTATTGTTTTGGTTATTTTTAGTCCCCGCAAACACATTTCTGCAACGACTACCAGCAACATCATTTTGAAAATTCAACTTACATATTTCAAAAGCTGAGCAAGCTAACTGGCTTTCTTGAATCATTTTGTGGGAAAATTATGCCGTATTTCGCTGAACGCTGCATTAGCCATGAATAGATGGAGCTGTACCCTTATTCCTGAAATGAGGGTCAGCACTTCAGAGAAAACACATTGCAGCAAGACTTTAAGACTGTAAATAAGCTACCAAGATTTAAAATAAACACGGTGGAATACTGATTTTGACAAATGCGATAAAGCAACCTCCTGCAGACAAAGGAAAGAAAAAAAGGAAATGCGAATTCACCAATCTGATTACAAGCCAACTTTCAACCAAACTTGTAGATGAAGAATTAAGACAATTAAGCACTTCTGCTTTAACTTAAACTATTTTCCTCACTCACAGTAGCCGTAATATACATTTGCTCTTACCAGTAGGTCCTCCCCTAACAAATAATGAAGCAGGAAGTACTTTTCTGCTTTCAGTTACTTTGTATTTCAGGAGAGGCGAAAGAGATTTTGTGCAATTTCTGAGGGAAACTGAACTTTTAAAGTCAGTAAACCTGATTTTAAACCTAAACTCCCTGTGCCTCTAAAAAATCAAGTTATTGTCCAGAAGTCCTGGGCTTCTGAAAGCTCCCCTCCATTTACCCTGCCCTCATCACTTCAAGGGAATTATTGCTGTATTTTGCTTACCACATTTCATAGATTAAAAAAATTAAGGAGGGCTCTACATTTTTCAAGCACTCAGCTTAAGCTGCAGTTTCACTTTACATAGACTTGAAACTCCTTGAGCCCTTAGCTGGTTAAGTTCCTAATGATATAACAAAAAAAGATCAACCTGAGAGCAAAAGAAACTGCTAAGTGTCAGTACAGCTATTAAAATTTCCAGTTTGTAGTCATAGAATGTGAGGGAGCACCTGACAAAAATTACAGGGCTGGGTGACTGGATGTTGTGTTTTTGAAAACCTTCATGCAAGCAAAGTGGACACCAAGCATGCCGTGTTCCAGCGACGTGTACCAGGGACATGGGTGGTCACTTGAAGAAATCAGTCACAATCCAGCTTGTGCACACTCTTCTACATAGTTTTCACTTCCTTGTGTTAAGTTTCCCGTGCCCTTACCATTATCCTATTGGTCTTGGTGTTGGTTCCCTTCCCCAAGTTCCTTTCACTTAACAGACATTTCTCCCAGACTTCTACATAAAATATTCAGCTTAAGAGATCTGTCTACTTATATTAGCACACAAAGAGATTCTTAGAAAGATCTGAAGCCTTGAAGCTATTAACTGGAGAAATAAATCCCAAATAATAATTATAAAAATTACTAAATTTCCATGTCAATTAACAGTTTTTGTCTCCATACAGCTTACAGTAAAAGAGAAAAAAAAAAAAAGGAACTTGAGCTTCTGCAATCTTTGTCGATCACATGAATATTACCCTTGTATAATGCTTTTGTCTCCTAGCTGATTCATCTCATACTCTGTCATTAAGGATTTTGAAGCTGCCTTCCTTTGGTGTTCAGATGAAGAGAAAGAAGATACGGTGTAGATTACTGTTGTCTTGAGTGGGTTATGTCGTGTTACATTCTCCTCTACACCTCTGCTTAACCACTGGAAACAACTTTGATGCTGTTCTCTTCTGCTCCAGTTTATGGTCTCTTCCAGAATCTAATCTGTCAGACCTGGAAGCACAAAGAATATGGTATGTTAAACTTTTTGGATTTGCTTTTTGACATTTTTGACTGGGACTGTTGTGAAAGATTTTCAAGAACATATTCTGCTTTTCTGTTTTCTAAATGGTCCAGTTTACTGTTATGGTTAGAAGCTGCAGAGCATTATAAAAGGAAAGGATTTATCTGTATTCCTATACTTCAGAATTAGCATAAAATATTTTCTACTTGCTGTAACTTCTCAGGTGTTTCTCTAACCTTTCCCCCATGAACAAATATATGGAACTCCAGCAGAAAACCTTCCTTCAGAAACATACAGCTGTACTGCTGCTGAATATTTGAAGAACACCCTAAATCATTAAGGGGTTTATACACATGCCAGTTAAGATCAGTATATTAGTTCTTTTTGAACTTCTTATAAAGCCAAGCATAGATCACAGAGAAAAGAACAGCTCACATACTCTAGCTGTACTTTTTAAGCAAGCCTCTCTTTGCAAGGACATTGCACAAGGCAGCATTGCTTTTTGGTCTTATTTAGAAGTCTTTTTGTTTGTTTCTGGTACTATAATGGATGCAAGGTTTTACACATACAAACAGCCAGATACAGCACCAGAATGTAAATCTTTACAGTTCAAATAGCTAATGCATTTAAAAAGATTAACAGGAAAGGGAAGAATATACAAAGAAATGAAGCACAAAGAGGTAGGCTGGCTCTGCAACAAACATTTCGGTCCCTGAAAAAACTGAAATATGTGAGAAACTTACAAACATATTCATGAAGACTTTCAAAACCCAGATTCTTTACACCTAATTCCAGACACCTAAATGTGCAGCATTAATCTCTGTTTGGTATGTAGTAAGCCAGAGCTTTCTACATCTTCAGAGCCAAGAAGCAGCTGGAGAGGGATCTCTCAGTCTATCTCTCTCTTTCTTCTCCCCTTCCTCTCTTCAATGTCAGTGCAGCCTAGGTTAATGACAATAAAATGAGAAAATTGGGTTAGCACCTAGAATTAAGGGTCTGAGTGCAATGGCTGTGTACAAGTTCATGTAAAAAGTTTGTGTCTTCAATCTTGACTGCAATCATGCCTTGCCCATGGCATGCTCTAATGCTTGGACAGTGTTTATTTTGGTTTATCACATCTTTAAAGGTTGAATCTAATTAGCTTTTCTTCCTGTTGCATTAAGTGTGTAGCAATTTGGCATAAAATAACCTCCCTTGCTTTCCAGCTGGTCCTCAGAAATCAGAGGGGCTGGGTGTGTGTATGGACTTAATTTCTGATTTGAGCCAATTTAGTACTACTAAGTCTAGTCAGGTTCCAGATACTGTTTCAGATGCAACAATAATCTGATTTACACTACATTCCTCATCTCATTCATGAACAGATTCACTGGTTGTGAGTATTACTGATTCATCACTGTAAGTCTGGTTTAGTTCAATAAGAACTTCCATGAACACAGATTGACCAATAGTGTAATTTATTGGATAATTGATAAATACACTAGACTTGCAACATACAAATGTACGGTGCTATGTAAGTGGTCCCAGTGCAAATCTTACCAAAGAAGCACCCCTAGTTTTGTGAAGTGAGAGAAATAACTCCATTGACTCATCTGTAAAATGGTTGTATTCTTGTTTTCTGCCAATGAAGATTTCAAATGCCAATTTATACTTTTGGGAGAAGTGGAAGCGAGACTGTGGTCAAATATTCTGTTACTGTTGTTATTAATGGGGGACAGAGAGCAGCAGCATATATGTAAATGAGGGACATCAGGAGAAACAAAGAGATTACAAAACTTTGTGTCTTGCACAAGGAAAGTACAGAATTGTGACATTTTAGCATTACTTCCTCTTCAACCTGGCTGGCTGAGGGTAAAAGGGTTACCCATTTCTGCCCGATATTGTATCACACTTCAGCATACCATCATGCCCAGTGTAATCCCTTAGCCACAAGGTTTCCTTTGGAAAACCCTTTACCACATATATAACACCATATCTCATGCCTGTAGGCCTCATTCCTGCACCTTCCTTGTTTTAAAGGAAGAAAAGCTGCTGGACTTTGATGTGCAGTGGCTGCCAGTATTGCCCTCTGTGACTGCATGTTCTGTGTCCATGGCTGGTGATAGCCAGCATTCACGATCTGCTCTGCTGTGCATCGTCAGATGCACATTAAAGGGTACCCATATAATACTGAAACATGTCTCGCAGTGCAGAGAGCCTGTATGGTTTCATTAGCAATGCTCTGCTATGCTCCATGGGCGCTTGCCTTGGCTAATGTTCCTGGACCAAAGTTCCATTGCTCTGCAATAAAAGATGGAGATAGGCAGCTGCTGGGACATTATGGGCCATTTGGTTTGGCTAGAAACTCTGTTTTTTCATTAGTCTCATAACATTCTTTATATGCATAAAATGCTGTGTCCACAGGGAAAAAAAGGAAAGGAAAAACTAACATATGCTTCCTGAAACTTATAATCCTACCTGCAAATCAATTTGTGGTCAGTGTGAAACAAGGACCCAAATTTAGCAGTTGTTGTTTATACCAGTGTCCTTTATACCAGTGTACAGATGAAATACTTTCATTGCATTAAACTAATACGTCCACATTTCCTTGGTTTTAGGTACCTTGTGCAAAGATGTCAAATGCATTGCCATTTATCTTGCTCTTCATATTCCCAATGCTGCTGTCTGGGGCTTGGTTTCCCAAAACTTTACCCTGTGATGTTAAATCTTCAGAAGGTGCTGTGACAGTGGACTGCACTGACCGGCGCCTTACAGAAGTCCCCAGAGGGATCCCTGGAAATGCTACCAACCTTACCCTGAGTATTAATCATATTCCCCATATCTACCCAACATCCTTCAATCATCTTGAAAACCTCGAGGAGATTGACTTCAGATGCAACTGTGTGCCTGTCAAGCTGGGGCCCAAAAATCATGTGTGCACCAGCCCCCTGAAAATTGAGAATGGTAGTTTTGCTGCCTTGACAAGATTGAAGGCATTGTACCTGGATGCAAACCAGCTGGCAGAAGTACCCCGAGGTCTTCCTGCTGCTTTAAGCCTGCTGAGTCTGGAAGCAAACAGTATCTTTTCTATCCAAAAAGCCAGCTTCTCGGAGCTAGGGAACATAGAGGTGCTGTATCTTGGACAGAACTGTTACTACCGCAATCCATGCAATGTTTCATTTGAAATTGAGAAAACAGCCTTTCTGGGGCTGAAAAAGTTAACAATACTATCCCTGAAGTCCAACAACTTAACACAAATTCCTCCCAATTTGTCATCTACTTTAAAGGAATTGTATATTTACAACAACATGATTCAAGAGATTCAAGAGCAGGATTTAAGTGGTCTTCCCAACCTAGAAATTCTCGACCTAAGTGGCAATTGCCCACGTTGCTATAATGCCCCATATCCCTGCGTTCCCTGTCCCAAGAGCTCCATTCAGATACATTCAAATGCTTTTGATTCTTTGGAAAAATTAAGAATTTTGCGGCTTCACAGTAACTCTCTACAGAGCATACCCAGCAGCTGGTTTAAAAACTTCAGGAATCTCAAAGAACTTGACCTCTCCCGAAATTTCCTCATGAGGGAGATTGGAGATGCTCAGTTTTTGACATTTATCCCCAGTCTTGTGCAGCTTGATCTGTCCTTTAATTTTGAAATGAAGATGTATTCTCCCTTCTTGGGTCTTTCTGAGACATTTTCTACCCTCTCTAACCTGGAAATCCTGAGACTCAAGGGTTATGTCTTTAAAGAGCTGAGGGCACAAGATCTATATCCACTGCTCAGTCTTAGGAATCTAACTATGTTGGATCTCGGGACTAATTTTATTAAAATTGCAAACCTAACTGTGTTTGATGAATTCCCAGCTCTTAAGTTCATTGATCTCTCAGTGAATAAAATTTCTCCTTCTTCAGGGGAAGGCAACCTCTATGGATTTTGCTCTAATCCTGCCATTTCAGCCGAGCAATACAACAGACAAGTACAACAAGAGATGCATTATTTTAGATATGATGTGTATGAGCGAAGTTGCCGTTCCAAAGACAAAGAGGATTCTTCTTACCAGTCTTTAGTTAAGGAAGATTGCCTTAACTATGGAAAAACATTGGATTTAAGCAGAAACAATGTATTTTTTGTTAACCCCTCTGACTTTCAGGGGCTTAGCTCCCTGAAATGTCTTAACTTGTCAGGTAATGCAATAAGTCAAACTTTGAATGGAAGTGAATTCTTTTACTTGTCTGGATTGAAATATCTGGATTTTTCTAACAACAGGGTTGATTTGTTATACCAAACTGCTTTCAAAGAACTAAAATATTTAGAAATTCTAGATCTGAGCAATAACAACTATTACTTTCTGGCAGAAGGTGTTACTCACGTGCTAAGTTTTATGAAAAACCTACCCCACTTGAGGAAGCTGATGATGAATGACAATGATATTTCCACCACTATTGATACAGGAATGGAAAGTCAATCTCTTCGAATTTTAGAATTCAGAGGAAATCACTTAGATGTTCTCTGGAAGGATGGCAATGATAGATACTTGTCATTCTTCAAGAATCTGAGCAGCCTGGAAGAACTGGATATTTCCTTCAACTCACTCAGCTTTTTGCCTCATAGTGTTTTTGAAAAAATGCCTCCCAGTCTCAAGGTGCTCAACCTAACAAATAATCAGCTGAAGAGTTTCATTTGGGGAAACCTCCCCTCTCTGAAGAACCTGGTAACTCTGGACCTGAGCAATAACCTTCTGACTAATGTTCCCCGAGAACTGTCCAATTGCACTTCATCGCTGCAGGTACTGATCCTGCGAAACAATCGCATTCACGTGCTAACCAAACATTTTCTCAGGGGTGCTTTTGAACTGAGATACTTGGACCTCAGCTCAAATAAGATTGAAATAATTAAGAGATCTAGCTTCCCTGAAAATGTCATTAACAACCTGAAGATGCTGCTTTTGCACGGCAATCCCTTTAAGTGTAACTGTGAGGCTGTGTGGTTTGTCTGGTGGATCAACCGGACGCAGGTGACCATTCCTCTTCTGGCCACGGACGTCACCTGTGCTGGCCCAGGGGCACATAAGGGAAGGAGCGTGGTTTTCCTGGACCTGTACACCTGTGAGCTGGACACGTCCTATTTGATCCTGTACGCTCTGTCAGCTTCAGCCATCCTCGGCTTGGTGGTGTTCACTGTGATGAGCCATCTCTACTTCTGGGATGTGTGGTACAGCTACCATTACTGCGCTGCCAAGCTGAAGGGCTATCAGCGCTTGTCGTCACCAGCCGCTTGCTACGATGCCTTTATTGCCTATGACAGTGAAGATCCTGCTGTGAACGAGTGGGTACTGCAAGAACTGGTTGAAAGGCTGGAAAACCAAAAAGCCAGGCAGTTCAATTTATGCCTGGAAGGAAGGGACTGGCTCCCAGGACAGCCGGTCTTTGACAACCTTTCCCAGAGCATTCAGCTGAGCAAAAAGACCATATTTGTGCTGACCAACAGGTATATTAAAAGTGGCCGCTTCAAGACAACATTTTATATGGCTCATCAGCGCCTTCTAGATGAAAAAATGGATGTCATTATCTTGATATTTCTTGAGAAGGTTTTGCAGCAGTCCCGCTATGTCCGTCTGAGGAAGAGGCTGTGCAGAAGTTCAGTCCTGGAATGGCCAACTAATCCTCAGTCTCAGCCCTACTTCTGGCAGTGCCTGAAAAATGCCATAGCTACGAGCAATTCTCTGGCATACAACAAGCTGCTCCAAGAAACTGTTTAGCTCTTCTCTCCCTGTAAATATTGTTATGATGCACAAGATCAAAATATCCGGAACAAAAGATACAGAACTGCATTTGCAGAAACTGTGTAAGCATGGAAGATATACCTCTTTGATTTTATTCCCCAAAATGATAGGCACAATTACTTTGAAATCAAATGATTTGAAGAGGAACTGTTTCTAGAACAGGTGTTTTGTTGACATGCACCTTTCTTTGCACTGATCACTGCACAGCAAGCAAAGATGCTGAAATGGGATGGTACATGAGATCAGGTTCTGTAGGGCTTGCAGGCTGCTTTGTGAAAGCAAGGCAGGGGAGCAGGACAGCAGAGAAGTTGAGGAATAGGTACAAGGCAGGTGGAGAAAATCAAGTAAACCAAGGAGGAAATGAGAATAGACAAAGAAATGCAGATAAAAAAAGAGAAAGTGGAAATGGTGGTAAGAAAGGAGGAACATGCAGCTATACTAGAGCATGGTGGAAGTTCAGAAGCAGTTACTGCTGATTTCCAAATAAAATTTTCACTTTACGTTTCATCTGCCTCCTAGGCTGTTTGCTGAGCTGGATCCTCCTTGAAGACTTTAGGGCTTCTCTCTAATGTTATGCTATCAGTTTGAGGACCTTTTCCACCCAAGTCCTGAGTGATGATCCTTTCTGTATCAGCTGTCTCTTAGCTGCTCTAGCCAGGGCTGGGGCCTGAGGACATATCATTTTCCCCAAAAGAAAATTTAGACAGAATTTGGAAGTGCAAAGCATGTAAGATCAGGTCACACAAGGAAAGCACTTTTCCCAGTTTCTTTAGTCCTCCTTCATTTCCTTGTTCCCCAGGCAGGTGCTTCTCCCACAGCAGCTGATGGGGCACTGCTAAACTCTTGAGACAGGAATGGGTCTCATTCCTGAAAAAGTGAAGAAACTTAACCTGTGCCTGTTCCCCACTCTGTTTCACAGTACAGACTCATTGAAAACATGAGTATTTCAAGTGAAACCTTTTGTAATGGCAGCCTAAACCTCTGGGCATGACATAGGCAGGTTCTCTGCCTGATGTGATGATATCTGATTTGGGAGAAGCAGCACATTTTCACCTTGCTGGGTCCTTCTGTCTGTACCAGTCTGGGCAGCTTCTCCCCTCTTGTGCAAAGTTCTTTTTTTTTCTGGCAACCAGTCTTGGTGACATCTCTGGCTGATGTTGTCAATGTTAATTGCTTTAAACTTGTTTATTTCAGATGCTACCTGCATTTCCTCACATAAGTGTTCTGACTGGTCCTTTCTTTCAGCAACAAGACAAAAAAACAAAGAAATACAAGAAAAGAAACTTCATATAATAATATTACAGATAAGAAGGGCTTTTCCCCCTCAATTTTTCAGGACATTTTTATTGATTGGATACAGAAGTAGGAAAAAGATGAGGACCTGGTTAAAAACTGGGAGTTTTACAGTTGTATTTTAATAATGTGTATTTCTGGTGGTTTTGTTTGTAAGCCTAAACAATCTGTATCTTTAAATATGATAACATGAGCTGTAATGTGACTCTCTCCATAAGGTGATACTTGAAACAGGAACCTCTATCCCACAGTTACTCGCCCACCATCTCCTTCTGCCTCCCTACAAAATGTCTATTTGGAGCAGATCCTCTCTCTCAGCCTCACTGACAAGGGCAGGAACACCAGGTCACTTAGCCTTTCTGAGTTTGAGAGGAGAGGTATTTTATCCTCTTTCATTAAGAAGCATGCACAGGATGGGTATGATGAGTAGCAATGAGTATAAATTGATACAGATACTAAGGGAGTTGACCAGGAAAGGTATCCTCCTTGATCTGTTACTTGCTAAAAAGAAGGTCTCATGAATGAATTGGAGATTGGTGGACATTTTGGCCCATGAAGCATTGAATTTAAAATATCTTGTGACAGGAGGAAAACAGCCAGCAAAATTCTGAATGTGAGAAGGACAGACTTGAGGCTGCTCAGGGAAGTAGTTAGTAAGGCCCCTTGGGAAAATGGTTTTGAAGATGCTGGGATCTACCAGTGTGGTCAAAATTTAAACACCACTTCCTTGGCGCATGGGAGCATGTAATTCCAAAACACTGGAAGTCAAACTGGTGAGGCAGAAGGCTGGCTTGGCTGACCAGGGATCTTTCTCTGGAGCTAAGGCGGACAAAAGAAAGTGTATGGCCAGTGAAAGCAAGGTTGAGTGACTTGGGAGGATGCTGTGGTTTAAGCCCAACTGCAGCTAAGCACCACACAGTCACTCACTTCTCCACACCCTGGTGGGATGGGGAGGAGAATCAGAAAAGAAACATAACACTTGCAGGTTGAGATAAGAACAATTTAGTAGTTGAAATGAAGAAAAATATAATATTGCAACAACAACAAAAACAGTAAGAAAAGAGGAGGAGAGAGAGACCATGAGTGACAAGTGATGAATAATGAATAGCTCACCACCTGCTTACTGATGCACAACCCATCTCCAAACCACAATCAGATCCTTTTCTGTGTTATTCCACCAGTTTACATACTGACATGTATGCATGACATTCTCTGGCACAAGATACCCCTTTGGCCAGTTCAGGTCAGCTGTCACGGCTGTGCCCTCTCACAGCTCCTTGTGCACTTTCCTCTGGCAGAGCTTGGAGCTTGCTTGCCTGGTTGATGTAGCTGTGTCCAAACTACAAAGCACTAAAGAGTCCTGAGGTTTCTGTACATCAGGGTGTTGTGATGGTGTAGCTTGTGATTTGGTGTGAGGACAGTTAGGAGGAGGAGCTATGGATTTTTGGCAAATTTTAAAATGGACTTCTGCAGATGCATTTACAAGTCTATGTGTCATTGTCCTTCAGAGGTGAGATCACAGACACATTTTATTAATATCTCATCCTAATGTAGGAGTTTAAGAGGGATGCAAGATTCAATTATTTTAATTGCAACCCAAAAGTAGGATTTTTCTCCATTAGCTCTGTAGTATTTGCATTGAGAACACTTGCAGTAAGGCAAGGTAGCTGCTGCTCAAGGCTAACATGTGCAGCAAGTTAGTCTTGAATAACCACGTCATGTGGACATCAAAATATCTGAAGTACTATGAACACTCACTGTTATGACCAAAGATGTTCTGCATCCATTGCTACTTCCTTAGAAAAATTGTAACAGACCATGGCTAGACCTGGTATTTAGCCTATGTGGCCTGGAAGAGCATACATGGAATACAAGAAACAGAAAGAGGATAAGGGAAGAAGAATATTGGTGAATTAATTGAATTTTTACCATTCTTATGGAATTGGCAAAAAAAAAAAAAAAAAAAAAAAAAAAGAGGTGCTATTTACATTACTGTCATTAGTGTGGCACAAAAACAGTAATCACTGGAAGTTGGCAAGAAGCATCTATACTTACAGCACAGATTTATATGACTGCAAAAGTCCCATCTGATCTCTTTGATCTCTCTTTTTAAGAACTGACATATGAGGAACTTGTAGGTGCCTCCCCTGTGAGAAAAATTTATATTTGAAGGGACTTCTGAAATCAAAGCAGGTCTAATTTCAACATAGCTTGTTTAGTCTCTTGTTCTGCAATAAAATTGGAGTGCTATGTAGCAAACATGATATCCCATAAACTTTATAACAGCATCTTTAAAAATACACTGTGTAGTAGATCACACTGGGGAGTCAAATAAGCCCTCTAAAACAGAGAATCTGTTTTTTGTCTTCTGAATAACCCTGCCTTTTCATTTCCTCAATCTTGTTATGAAAGTATCTGCCTGCAGAAATTAACCCTATGATAGGTTATTCATTTGAAAAAAAAATTTGCCACAGGCCAAATTTCTCCATATACTACGAAGAAGATCATTTTGGTTATAATTACTCAACTTCACTGAAAGTGTGGAAGTCAATTTCCTAATTTGGGAAGACAGACTGTGTGTCCAAAGACAAAAGACATACATGTTAATCCATCATTATCTCTAGGAGTATATAAGTGCCAAAAATAAAGCACAGTCAAATAATTTCTACTAAATCCATATGCTGCTGCTGAAATGGAAAAGGGAATCTGGATAGCTGTTGTGGTGCATTGTTGTTCATTATGTTTGATTCAGTTACTTCTGTATAGTAATTGTAAATTGTACCCTGCCTTGTTAATACTTTAGTCCCACTTGTGCCCTCCTACCCCAGTTGCCAATCCACCCTGACACCTGCCCCTTGTTCCTAAATGTTGCCTCCCATTAAGCTGTCAATCCTCCCTTGTGCCAACCCCCTGCCTGGACTGCCCCCTTTGGAATTCCCCTGTTCCTCTGAGCCCCATTGGTCCATGTGTCCCACTCTCCTCCCCTTGTGTTCTCCATTGGTTTATGTATTATGTAACCCCACCTTGTGTTCCTCCCCTAGGTCTTCCCTATTTGTTTATTATTCGTACATGCCCCTTCCTCCTCCCTTTATATAAGTTGCTGTACCTTTGTGTCTTTTGTCTTTCATCCCTGGAACCTGCAAGAGAATAAATCCTTTTTGGCAGCCACATGGAAGACCTCTCCCTCATCCTTGTTCCTGCCCTCAATGCTGGACAGCCTGTGCTGTAGAGCACAAGCCCTAAGCTGCCCTGCTTTCCGGGAGCAGCCCACGCTCGGCCCAGTGCTGGGAGCTGGCTGGGGAAAAATCCGGCACCGCGTCAGATATCCAATTTTGAAAAGCAACCTGCATGCTTTCCTTATTTAATGAGCTCTTAGGCGTTATTATACAAGGAATTATTTAATTAAAAAATAGCCAAAATCAAGTGTGTACCTGGTGAGAAATTTTTAATTTGGGTGTGTAAAGTATCGGACTGTAGGAAGGCCTACTAAGTTCTGAAAACTAAGGTGGTTAGGTGGGTTTCTTTGGTGGAACAGTATCTTTGTTCAAGATATTCAGTCCTGAACTAAAGAAGTGTACCAGAATAGCCACTGATCAAACTCCATGGCCTTATCTCTCTTTGTTTTCTTTCTTTTATTGCTTCTGCATACTGCTAAGGGCAATATTTTGAGCAAAAGCATCTCTAGGTAACTGGAGTTTTTTTTAAAGAGAACCACACATAAAATCGAAACCATCCTTGCAGTTGAGAATTCAGAAACATATAAGGAAATAAAGTTTCCATCTTTTTCTAGCAATGACATTATTGTAAGAGTGGTAATAGATTTATGTAATTCTGGAAAAGCTGGCAAGCTGTAAAATGGAAGGTTTCCCCTTTTGGTTTCTGAATATTTTCCTGAGTATTTTCTTTCATTTTACAAGCTAAGTTCTAGTCACACTGTCTTAGCTATGTTGTTTATCTATGTCACATTCCCCATAGTAATATCTGCAACTCTGGTATCATATATCTTATCAGTATTTTATTAAGATTCCACAAGAGTGAGAAGGTCTGGAAGTATGTGTTGCTTAAAAACACACATGCCCGGTCTTGTATTTTCCTGCAGACAGAGTAGTTTTCAAATAAAAATTAAGCTGTAAATAAGTCCTTTGTGAATATGCCTTCTTTTCTTGACATAATTTTTTTATCCTTTTGCTTTGCTAACTGAATAAATAATTGAAATCTAATTTTCAACTGATCTCCCACAGTGACAAATTGCTTTTAATGTAGAACAAAGGAAAATTTCCTGAAACATAGAACAAGAGAAGTTTAAACTTATATTCTTATTAGCTGGTTTGCAGATGATTCTTTGCCATAATTTACCCAGAATATTTGAAGTCCATATGTCCATATGGAAGGATGATACTCATACAAGATTATGCTCTTAAACACTGCAGCCGAATCTTGCATTCTGTTCATAATAAAATTTCTTAACCTTACTACCTTGGTCTAAGACTTACTTTTAGTTCTAGTATTAACTCAGGAAAAACAATCACTAAGCCATGCTCTTGCTTGTCTATCCTGAACTTC